GTAAAAGAATGAATGGAGGGAATGAGTCGAATGCAAGCAAGAATGTATTGACTATACCACAGAGAAAAATAAGGGAAGGGATGGGGTGGCAAGGAGGGTGAAGATGTTGAAGGGATGGCACAGGTTGAGATGCATTGCATACTTAAACTGCTTTGTTAACTGACAAAAAAGAAATTTCAATACTTGACCTAGAAATTAAGAAAAGTGAGGGTATGATAGGAGGGATGGGTGAGAATGTTGAAAGGGGTGACATTGATCAAGAGGCACTGTATTCATAAACTGCTTTGTTGACTGACAACTCCTTTGTACAACTACTTAAAGATAATAAACATATTCAAAAAAGTCTCTATTGTCACCCTAATTATTTCTCATGCTAATTTTTTCTTATTCATATTATACACCAGGTATTCAGCAGACCAGTTTATGGATCATTGCTTTTATTCCTTCAATAGCTCTATTATGCACTCAGCACAGATCAGTCAACTCTCACATTTCTAGTAGTATCTGGATAAGAAAAAGAGCTGTGTGGGTTACACTGAGCCCCAGGGAAGATCTGCGCAGAAGTGACAGAGTTGTCATAGCCACATTTACTGCAGAAGAATTCCCTTCTACTTAGGTCTTTTAAATCAGTTTACTCTGTGAGTACTCAGGAAAGGGGACATAGATAGAGAGCAGGAAAGAAATGCCTCGAATTCTATGAAGAACAGCAGTGCTGTCATGAAAATGGAGCCGTCAGTGTGATGTGTCTTAAATTAGACCAGCTTCAAAATGGAGGAGAAACACTCAGAAGGAACATAAAAGTCAGGTTTTAAAATGTGAAGGGCTGTTGGAGCGATGGAGGATTTGAATTGTGTGTGTGTGTGTGTGTGTGTGTGTGTGTGTGTGTAACTAGGTGGAGCCGCACTATAAGGAAGCATGCTCTCAGTAGCAAGGCCAGTTCCGAGATAAAATGGAGCAGCTGGTGGAGGATGGGGTAACCTTCTCACCCCTGGAACGCTTCAGAGAAGGGTGAAAAACCACTTCCCAAAGAAAGACAACATCTGGGGTTACATATTTAACGTGGCCAACCTTAAAAAGCCCTGCTAATCAGAATGACTGGGGAGGAATTCTAAGCTTCTATGGTCAATAGATGAGACCCTTCTGAGACTGTTTCCTAGTCCTGGCTCTGGGGTGCCTCTGTGGTCTGGAGGATAAGACCACTCTCCTTACAGCGTAATAGACCAAGCCACTTACCTCTCCCCAGTTCCCTTTTGTGAATTGGGCTGTAGGCCTCCGGCTGCACCGAACTGCCTCTGAGCATCTGACTCACAGGTCTGGGATCTTGGCATATACCATGTACCTTCTGGAATGCACTTCCTACACCCCTGCTCCTGCATAACGTTTGTTATTTGGGATCCCCACATTCCTTCCTATAAAGCCTGGATGGGCCTCTTCTCCCACCCTCAATGCTTTCATGACCACCTCTGTCCCCTTTCCTAACCACAGGCCCCAAGACCTAGCATTGCAATCGTCTTGTTACTTTATCTACTTCTGTGTTTGATCAGAATTGTAAAGGCATTGCTGACTTGTCTTTGTCTCCCTAGTCCCCCACCCAGGGCACAGACATGGAAACAACAAAGAAAACAAAAATGTAACAAAACACATGGGGCGTGTGAAAACCACACTGGGCTTCGCACACACTGCCTCTTTTATTAAGAACTGTATAAATGTCTACTGAAAAAATAAATTTAGTCATGTGATCAGACAGTGCTAAATACCACAAGACACACTAAGAATCATTTAAAGGAATTGGAAATAGAATCGAGTCGCAAAAACAGCCCAAGGTTCTTTCAGACAAATAACTTCTAATTGATTAAAGAAATAGCTTTGTCACAGCCACCTCATTAACAACTAAAGACTTAAAAAGAGACTTCTCTGAAAAGGAAATAAGAAATGAAGAAATGCTCAACCTCTCTGGCCATGAAAGAAATGTAAATCCAAGCAACACTGAGATTCTACTTCACCCCGATTAGAATGGCCATTATCAAGAAATCTAATAACAACAGATGCTAGAGGGGATGTGTCCAAAAGATAATGCTAGTATACTGTGGGTAGTGCAAACTTGTTCAACCACTCTGAAAGCAATGTGGAGGTTCCTCAAAAGACTAAACATAGAGCTCCCCTATGACCCAGCAATCCCACTCCTGGGCATTTACCCAAATGACCACAAACAAGGCCATAATAAAGTACAACAATATTCATTGCAGCATTATTTCCCATAGCTAGATGCTCCTCAGTAGATGAATGGGTCAAAAAGATGTGGTATATATACACAATGGAGTTCTATGTTACCATCAGAAAGAACTACATTGCTCCCTTCATAAGGAAATGGAAAAAATTATGTTAAGCAAAGCAAGCCAGGCCCAAAGAAATATAGGTTTCATGGTTTCCCTCATTTGTAATAACTAGAATATGTCTATGATATTCTTAGCAGAGGATCACAATAGCCCAATCACTAAATGCATATATAATGAAACTTTATCAAATTGAACTCAAAAAATGGGGGAAAAAAGAGATTCTTATTATGTCCTGTATGCAGTTATTTCTATTTTCTTCTTTCTGTTTTAGTTTTTGGTACCTTTCTATTGTGTATAGGCTTATCTGATCTGTACAGGGAAAGAGAATCACAGAAACAGCAGGACAAAGGATGAACTATTGCAACAATGATACTCACTAGACACTGTTGGAAATGAACTTTACAACTTAGGGAGGAGGGGAGTGGGAAAAAATGAGGGAGGGGGTAACTGTGTTTAAAAGAGCTGTACTCATTACCTTACTTAAGTAACTCTCCTGTTCATCACATTTACAATAATCATTTTAAAAAAGAAATAGCTGTTTCATGCATCTAAAAATAAAAATGTATGAGTAAGAATTCTAATCATTATGAAGGTTGAAAACCCAGAATTAGAGAAAGGTTCAAATTGTTCAGTGCAACCCAGACCTTACACAGCTTCATTCACCAAAATACTGACTCGGCATGGGATATTTCCACTCAATTTCACATGATCCACATTGCTGCATCAACTCAATAAATCCACATATTTCCAATATTGCATGCAAGTGAATATTGTATTGCCCTATACACAAACACCCAGGTGCATGCACAGACACACACATACGAAGTATATAAGTGAATATAGGAAGAAGAAATATATGAAATATTTAAGAAAAACACCTTTTGCAGTGTCCTAAACCCAGTAGAACTCCAGAATAGCATGAAAAGGGTGTAACCATGCCCACCTTCCTGGAGATAATAAGATTTGAAAAGGAAATGAGGGAGATTGAATGGGCAGATGATTAAAAGTTCTCTCTAAAAGACAGAATGAACAGAAGCTAGGAAGACATGACATGGTCAGACAACATGCCAGTTGTTGCCAATGTCTTTCAAAAATGATGAAGGACTGTTTTGTAATTTCACATTATTCATATCTGAGTTCTTGCTTGTGAAAGAATGTGCCTTTTAGACAAGTTCAAGTTGTTCCCAAGACTAACACCCTCAGAAATGAAATTGATGGTGTCTCCTTCCTTATCTCCTTTGAGACAATAACGGAGCACTTCCCACTTCCCATTCTATGTTGCAAATGGTAAGTGGATTTGTGAACTGTTCCATCTGGGCACATAAATTACTCTCTCCACTCAAGAGTGCTTCCTGAAGCACCTGGATTTATCACGTGGACAGGTAACTATGGTCTGTTACAGTTTTATTGGCATCTGTGGAATAATCCTGAGCTTAAAGTACATTTAAGTCCAACCAGCACTTTATATAACAATGTGCAATCATCTTTTTTTTTATCAGAAATAACACAGGAAATGATGGGCAGCTACTTGTTGTGGACTTGCTAGAACTCTAAGATGTTGAGAGTACCTTGTGACAAGGAGACAGATCTAGGAGGATTCAGCCAAAGCCTACATCCACCATTTGGAACAAAGTTGGCCCCAAAAAGGGTCCAGGCTGAAGGATAAATCAAGATGCCTTTGACTTGTCCCACCTTTTCCGTTGATCCAAATTTTAAAAATCAAGGATGGAATGCAGGACAGCCAGAGCACTGGGTCTGAGTTCAAGCCAGAGCAAACAGAACCAAAGATGACAAGGCTGCAGCCCAATCTGTCTAGGTGCCATGCATTGACACCAGTTCCATCCTGATGAAATACAGGAAAAAGGTAAATGCAGTGTTGAGGTAACAAGCTTGAGGGTTGTCTGACAGAGGAAGCAGAGGTGGCAAATAGGAATTTTCTTTTGAACTACCAGTGCTTATACCAAGTCTTCAAAACAGAAGGGACTGATGTGCCTCACTAAGGTTGAATTCAAGTTGAAGTCACTGAACCACTTCTTCCAGTCCTAAGAGGCTACTGACCACTGCCAAGTTTATTGGAAATAACAAAGTTAGAGGTTGGTTCCCTGGAAACTGCCAGTTGGGGCAACTTGCCTGAGCTGAGTGTCTAGATAGTTGAATGCTGCAGAACCACAAGATGAGATGTGAGAATCCCGTCAGAATAGTATCAGGAAAAGCTAGGCAAAGAAAGGATAAATAGGAGTTGACTGAGCAGGGCAGGGAATACTTAGGAAAAGGGACTATGGTGCAGGAAAACTGAGAAATGAAAAAATGGGGGCCCTCAATATGGCTATAATTCAGAGAATTTGGAAGCAAAATGGATGTGGACAGTGAGGGATGGGAAATAAAGGATGGCCTCATGTTTAACATGAGGTGTTGCTATCGGGTGGCTGCTGCTACTCCTTCCCAAATATGGAATCAGGTGGTGTTTAGCTAAGAAACAGAAGCCAGTCCATGTATTCCATGCATAGCCTTTAATACAACAAAGTAGACTATTGCAAAATCTCAAGACAGGCCACATGTAGTTCTCAGAAGTTCTATAGCTACTGTCAGGAACAGAAGCTATTAGAAAAATTATGAATTTCCAGAAAGCTTGAGCCGCAGCCTACAGGTACAGTGCAAGCCATCTTAAAGACGCTGCTGCTGTTGTGTAGATTTCACACTGCCTTGCACCAGAGGATCACCTGGATGGTCAGCTGGAGAACTGACAGATGAATTGGGACACACCATGCGACCTCCAATGTGTGCCTCCAGGATACAAGAAAGAACTCTGAACTACAAGGGCAGATTTGAGAGCTGTAGAGATTCAAAATGAAGTCACCCAGAGAAAATGTGGAGAAAAATATGAGAAACCACCAGACAACTTGCACAGTAGACCAAAACATAGAGGAAATGATAGCAGAAACCCAAGCAACTTGATGCTCCCTCTCCACTCTCTAACTTTAGAATTCCTATGTCTCATAGAAAAAATGTAGGATTGGGATTCAATCAGTCCCAGCCATCCCTGGGCTCGTGTTCTCTAGCACACACTAACTGCAGCTGTATAAAACATCTGTTCATTGACTATACCTGACAGGAATTATAAACCTAGAAGTTCAGAGTAGAAAAAGAAGATGGCTAGGTGTGGGTAGGCAGAAGGAATTTGTAGCAGAATGCAGATTTGAAGGACAAACAGGCTGTTTTCTATGTTAAATTTAAACCCTGGACGGGTCTGCCACTCGGAGAAGAAAATGCATCTGGTGATAATCACATGGTTCACACAAAGTGAACTAAGCAATTTCTCTTTGTGCTGAAGATTTCATGGTTTGTTGAATATGCAATTGGAGGAAGACTTTTGAAAAAGAATAAATCTTCAAGAGACAACTCGTGTTTACCCACTAAGTAATTTCCAAGATTATACAAGAAAAGGCAAAATAAACCAATTTCAAAAGCATATTCTAAAAAAAAAACAAGTTTTATATGCAGATACAGTTTAAACAATGCACCTCATGGCATACTAATTATGTAGTTTCTAAAATTTCCATTCCAAATGTGATCACGTTCTAAATTATGGGGGGTAGGGTCAGTGATGAGTGAAGTAAGGGAAATGATAGTGGATGGAAATAGGAAATATCTACCTTACAAATTCTCTCTCACACTTTTGATGGTTTAGTTCTATCCAATGACAACACTCCTTCCTTTTTTTCCCCTATCCTCTTCTAACACTTAATCATTTCCTCTCATTCCCTGAGGACTTTGACCTCTGCAATTTCTTCCATTGTCCTCTGTGGCTTCACAGTCTATCCTGATATCAACCACATAGCTAGTCTTCAACTTCTTGAACTCATCTCTGGAGAATACCTCTTTTCCTCTACCTTGGATGCTGTTCCCACAGTCCCATTCTTTACCACCAAAAACTGAGTCACTTCCAAAGATGATACTTTCAAATTTTACAATATGTAAATATCCAACTCTGTGACCACACCCACCCATCCAGCAGCTTCCTAGCCCAAAGATACTAGAGTAGCCTAAATAATGACTCCCAATGATATCAGGTCCTAAGTAATGAGCCTGTAGTTATTACTTTATATGGCAAATACCTTGCAAATTGAATTTTTTGGAAATCACTTTTTAAGAATATCTTTCTAGATTTTTCATAATACTTATCATAGAATATTTTTTAAAATTTTTATTGTAAAGCTGATGTACTGAGGGGTTAGAGTTACATAAGTCAGGTATTGAGTAGATTTCTTTTTGGATAATGTCCCCTCTTCATTTTCTCCCAGTTTTTTCCCTCCTAACCACCCTCTCCCAGCCCAAGTTGTATAGTTCATTTCCAACATAGTGTCTAGTGACTGTCACTAATGAATTAGTTCATCCTTTGTCCCACCATTTCTGTGCTTCCCTTCCCCTCTCCAAATTGGATAAAGTTACTTACAAGACAAAAGATACAGAAATCAAAAACAGCAGCACAAGGGGGTGGGAACCAGAAAAACAAAAGAACCATAAAAAGTAAAATTTTTAAAAGCTTCATGTTTCCACTTATTGGAGTTCATTTCAATGAACATCATTCTATGTGATCATATATATACACATACCTATTGAGCCCTTGTGATCCTCTCCTAAGAATACCCTCCTTTGCTCTCACTGTGTGAATGTTTAGAGTCCTGTTTAGCTTATCATATGCAAGTAAATTGGGGATCCTAAGATGAGGTAAAATTATCTAGATCGAACGTAAATAAAATTACATGTGTCCTGATGTGCAATATACAGAGATTCACCATAGACAGAAGTAGGGAAGTCATTGTAAAGAGAGGCAGAGATCCCAAGCAAAGGAATGATGGCAGCCACCAGATAGACATTGAAAGAGGAAACAAAGTAATTCCAACCCTTAAAGCCTGAGGGAATCCAGGGATCAGGGTGCTGACACCCTGATTTCAGGCAGATGCAAGTGATATCCGAATTTTGACCTCCATAACTGTGAGAAAAGAAAGCTTTTTGTGTTGTTTGTTTGCTTGGGTTTGGGGTTTCTTTAAACCAGTCCTGGGGCTTGAAATCAGGGCCTTGAGCACTGTCTCTGAGCTCTTTTTGCTCAAGGCTAGCACTCTACCTAAATGAGAGCCACAGCACCACTTCCAGCTTTTTCTGTTTATATGGTACTGAGGAATCGAACCTATGCTAGGTTCATATGTTAGGCAAGCATTCTACCATTAAGCCACATTCCCAGCCTGAAGGAAGTATTTTTTAAGTCATCAAGCATGTGGTCATTTGACACAGCATATCCATGAAGTAAATACATACTCCCAATGAAACTGTTATCAGTCCTATGGAGTTACCAGTTACAAGGCTCATCCATGATTGCCATATCATAAATACTCACATTCCTTTGTCCTCACTCTTTACATAACCAACCACCTTCAATGAATCAGACCAGTAGCTATCAATAAGCCAGCAAGTTTCAGAAAAATTATAGAAGTAAGCACACTGGTACTACCCAAAATGGTTAGTTGTGAACCACACCACATATTCCTCAGCCATGTTACAGACCAACTGTAACTGAAACTGTGTCCAAAGAAACCTCAGAAATCCAGTGGACCCAAAGTAATTTCATGATCTCACTTTCTAACCCCACATTTCAGTATGGGTTCAGTTCAAAACTTCATTATCTCCAGCTCTTGAACTGTGTTGTTATTCATGATAGAATTTTTGACAGTTTTCTTGTTTCATCTTGGTTAATCCATGACCAATTCCTGTTGATTTTTCCTGCCAAAAAGCCTGTCAAAGCTGTTTACTTGGCTGTTTACATATTTTTAATCAATATCATGTTCAACTCATCATTGTTGGTCACTTAAACTGGGACAACAGTCTCTGAGCAGATCTGATTTGTACATTGCTGGGCCTCGTGTTTTCTAGGCAAGTACTCTCCCACTTGAACTGCCATCTTCAGCACCGATAGCTACTCTAATTCTCTTTGGTTGATTAGTTTCTCATGGTTATAATGCTTTAGGTTTCTGCTTAAAATTGAATATATGAATAGATTTCAGTTCCAGATAGGATAAAATGGCAAATCCTGACCATGACCCCAGGGCCCCAGGATTTGGCCTCTTTCCTTTGCAGCCTTACCTTCAATCTCTTTACATTTTCATCCAGTGGCCTTATTCTAATTCATAGAATGAACCAAACTCTTTCTACCTTCAGAGCTTTGGCTCACATTCTTCTATTTGTGAGAAAGTTTCTTTCTCCCATGCTCCACTATAACTCTTTCTCCAGCTTGGTTATTTATTTTTGATGAGTTGCAGGTCAGATCTGCAAATTATATGCTCATAAACTGCCCTGTATTCACCTTCTCTAGGCATACCCAAGGGGAGAATTATTATCAGTACTGTTATTTGTTTAATCTATCTCATCCCACTAGATTATAATTTCTGTAAGGTCTAGAGTCTTTTCCATCTAATTCCTGGCAACAATCTTCATTCACTCTTTCATTCAATTTTGGATTGGAGGAGAAGAAAGCATAAGAACTCAGGTACATAAAAGTTGAACAAAACCTTTCATACCTGAGAAGTTAGCATTTGGATCAAATTGCATCTTACCTAACCCTATCTCAGAAGAAAGAAATGTGAAGATTGTGTGTGTGTGTGTGTGTGTGTGTGTGTGTGTGTGTGTGTGTGAAGGCTATTCAGACCAGTACCTAAGCAGCTGAAGATGAAAAAGGTTGTTAACCCCTCTCAGCACTGTAGGCCTCTGTGGGTATTGAATTGCCAGAAGGTAAGTAGGATTTACTAAAGTGCTCAGCTTTCCTGGCTATCTATCTATAAGGACTATATTAACTACAGATGTCTTTTTCTAGAAGGTTCTAGTGGTTGCCTTGGTTCAAACTCCAAAGCAGCTTCTTTTTTTTTTTTTTTTTTTTGCAATTAAAGTGATGCCCCAAGAAATTCAACAGCCTGGCTGTTTACCAGATAGTTTAAGAACCAAGAAAAGGCCCACTGTTTGAGTCCAATACTCTACTGTGGAGTAACTCCACAGCTATGAGGAAGACTGAAGAGACAATATAAATATGTAATGAGTTCTGAGATGGCAATTAAGGACAACTAATAGAATACTTTAAGTAGTCCCCATCTGACTTTAAGATGTCTCTCAGGCATCCAGAAGGGTCAAACAGAGCCTTTGAATACAAATCTTGCTATTTAACTTCCTCAGTAATCTTCATGTTTAACCCCTCACTAGCTCTTAGATATTGTGTCATTGGCCACAAAATTAAAATTAGAATCAATACAATGAATGCTTGCTAGGCAAAACAATTCCAGGCTCTATTTCAGCATGAAGTTTCATTTAACTGTGGGAATGAAAAGCGGAGACAACCTTTTGTTCTCTTCATTTCACAATCCCACAAATGGCCTCTTAGCCAAAATAGCTCCTCTAATCTTTAAGTTTTAATTAGCTGCCCACAATTCATAAAGTATCAGGAATTCAAATGCTGATACCTCATTCTCCTGAGAAATGGCACACAATTAACCTCTTTTTTCTGGTCAAAGGCAGAAATTGAGAAAGGGTAATGACAAAATTAATCTATTCTGGTGGCCAGGCCCGGCCATGGAGCAGGGAACGGCATCCAATCCGGAATCAAAGAAGAAGGTGATCATTGGTGTGTCACACTCTGCATTAGTTGTGCCTTTTGTACTCCTGACATGCTATATCACAACTACCAAGCCCCAAATAGTTTACAAAAAATGATAAATGATTCCACAGAATTAAATTAACCAAACCCACCTTTTCCTTCCCTCTGAAAACAG